CACATGGGTGCACTTTTCGTCATTTAGAAAAAGGTTCCAGTCCACACCACTTCCTTGCAGCGGCTACATCCATTTGGAGGGCGCTGGCATCGGAACTCCAGCATTTCAAGTCGTCTGCGAAAAGTAGGCGTAGCTTTGGAAGAATATCGTGAAGGTAGCTGACGCATATCAGAAATGGAATTCGTTTCACAACGAAGCCTTGAAGAACTCCAATGGGGACCGGCGCTAGGGAATTTTAGGTCAAGCCTATTCTCATTCGGAATGGTCTGCCTGATAGGAAAGCCTTGGTTCAGTCCAGGATTTTCCCTTGAATCCCAAAAGACTCTGGTTTGTGGAGCAGCGGGACGTGTGGGACCCGATCAAGTGCCTTTGAGAAGTCGAAAAATATGGCATCCGATATGAGTCCTTCGTCCTTGGCTTGGGTTAAGCTGCCCATAAACACGAGCATGTTTGTCACGCAAGGACGGTTTGGGAGAAATCCGTGTTAAGCTCGAGACATCAGGTTGCTGCAAGTCAGGTGATCTAGGATAGCTCGCTTCAGAATGCGTTTCATCACCTTGCACGGAACTCTGATGAGGCTTATACGCCTGTGGCTGCCAGGCGACAGTCGGTCACCAGTTTTGTAGATTTGCGTGACATTCGCTTATTTTCAAGCAGAGGGGAGGTAGCCTTCCTCAAGTGGCTGACGGAATAGAATGTAGAAATGATTTGCCAGCTTAGGCGACGATCTCTTCATGATTTTTGGATGCTAATCGCCGACAAAAATGGGTTCCTTTTGTGCGAGAGTTGACAGATGTCCTTCACCGTTAAGTCCAAGTCGGTTGAAGGTTGTTCGTAGATATGCCTTGACAAGAGTGGATGTGTCGAGGACGCTGGGACTAAACATAGACCTGCAAAGTGTTCTCTGTAGACTGCAGGTACCACTTCGGGTCACTCGTGAGTGCTCCGATCCTGCCCCCCAAGGAGAACGTGGGTGGCCTGTTTTGCAGCGATGTCTCATGTATTTGAACAGTACACTTCTGTTTTTCCGAGCAAGATCTGGAGTAGCGACTTGTTTACGTGTGTTCCTCTTGCGGATTCCTAATTTACAGAGGTTTCAAATTTTACGGAATGCCAGCTCGTCTTATGTGTCTCCTGCAGTCAACTTTTCGAGGAAAGCTGGGACCTCTTTTCCGGAAGACACCGAATCCTTTCAGGCTGCCTGCGCCTCATCTGACTGGACGCCGTTTTTTGGGACGAACGCCGCGTCAAACTCGTGAACATTCCGGACTGTGATCCTGTGTAAGTCTCCCACTGGAGCTGGTCCCAGTTTAACTTGTTCAAGAAAGGTGCGCATTCCTGAGGAGTCTGCACGGCAAAAGTATCGAAACCATGTTTGAGGTTTGCGATTTCTGGCCCAATAGCAGATGAAATCAAAGGTCAGCACGCAGTGGTCGCCATGTGGAATATCGATTATTGCCTGATTAGCGAAGCGTCTTTCTTCGGTGATGACCAAATCCATAGGGGATGGTAGTTGGTCTGCACGGTATCTGGTAGGTGCAACGACATATTCAGCCCAAGCGCTATGTTGAACGAATCCGGTCCACGCCTCTGAAAAAATCAACTAGATCCGGCGCGCTGGTGCTCCGTCCTGGAGGCTTTTGGAGCGTTAAAGTCACCAACCGGCGGGAGATGAGTGAGGTGG